CCCCCCCCCCCCTTCATGACCAATTCAACATGAACGTGACCTCCACCCCTGCCTGGCTCGGTCCCCGTGGGTGCTGAAGCAGCAGTGGCAGAGGGAGAGCTGCCCCGGCTCACTCTTTGCGAAGGTCGTGGTTCAGTATGGACAACACGTTGGCTAAAAACAACTGAGAGTAGCTGTCCTTGCCTCTGCCCCTTCCCCCATTCGCACACCAGTGAGTATCCAAAAACATATGCAAAGGACAGGCCAGCTGAGGATAGACTTTGGGCATAGAACAGTTGAAAAATGGTGGGTAACCATTCATGCCCCATTTGTACCACAAATGGTGGTACAAATTCAAGCACAAAGACCTTTTCTTAGCAGCTCTTGTGCCCTCTTGCATCTGTGATTGTCTGGGGAAATAAATAAACTTTTTCAAAAAGGGCTCAACACTTCAGCGAGGGTGCCTTGGGTCGGGTCTGTTCACCGGTGGTCCCGCAGCCCCGTAGGCTAAACAGCTCTGTCGAAAGCCAACGTTAGCTCACGCACAAAATGACTGCGTGCTCCTGAACTCCCGGAGCAGCTGCCACGGGAGACAGGGAAGCCGCTTTTTTTTGCCTGCACGTTTTGCCAGCAAAAAAGGCAGCGTCTCCAGCAGCTTCAAGACACATGCCTTGGGGCAGCCTACTCTGGTCTGTAGCGCTCTGTCCAAAAAGATCTACTGCTGCCTAATTAGCACCAGCGATTTCTGGAGGAAAGCTGAGTACAGGGAAAACCAAACCCTCCCTGTTGTGATGGCTCCTCAGCTATCCGTAGCTCGACCGCAGTTTTTTTCCCCAGGGAAGAAGGATGCCAGATGGTTTGATAAATGCCTATTTGACCTGTTCCATGAACTAAATTCAATGAGTTTGGATTTCCAGGCTATTTATGAATCCATTAATCTTCTTAAGTGCTAAATTCATCTGTGTATTATAAAAGGCTGTTTTTCAAACCTAGTCCAGCCCAATGCTGTAGAGGCATATTATGTTAAGGATGCCTTTACAGGAGCAGTATTTCATCCTGTCAGGGAAGGTTTATCAATAGGCTTGGCACAGATGGTAGGACATTGGGCACAAATGGTTGTATTTCACTTCTGATAAGTACGGATGTCTCATGAGTGAATTGTTTTTATAACCCACATTTTCCTTTTCTGCACTGAAATACATTAAAGCTGAGGATCGTCTTACTCTGCAGTTGTTGAGTATGGCTTCCAAGTTAATTAGGGCTTCAAAGATGCTTCTGTTTTACCTGCAAGAATGGCAGATCTGAATGTGAAGCATCTTAAAGTGTAGGTTTTAGCAGAGATTGCACTGTCAAGTGATGGACAAGGGGACTGTATATCATACTTTACTGTGTGACAACAGGGCCAGTGGCCTTGGACATCAATGGTTTAAATGTCTCTTGTAGTCAAATACCCTAACTGCTTGCCCCAGAAAGCTTTCCCTGTGCTGCTGTAATATAGCTGTGGCTGCCCAGGAGCGTGTGGCTGGCATTGTGCTGCATGTAATGGGCTTTCAGCTTCCCTGCAGTAACGGGGACAGACTTCATGCTCTCCTGCTCCAAAATCCTGAGCCGAGAGATCAGTGATGTGTGCTTCCAACGGTACAGAGCATCTGTCATGTGAGTGCTCAGGAAAAGTCCGTGAGTCTGTGCTTCGCTCCTCTCTCCTCCGTGTCACTCCTTCCTTGTCACCCTCTCTGCTCAGCTTGGGCACTTACCTGGCAGAGCAGGATTCTGGGAAGGACAGCGATGTATGGCTGCTCAAAAGCCCTGACAGGATTTCCAGCACCGTGAAAGCTTGTATTAGACTAGAAGTGCCCAGTTCATTCTTTCATGATCCTTGTTTCTAAGCTCTGAGCAAAGGCCTTGTTTCACTGATTACATGGGTAGATGCCAATTCACAATTGCATTTTTTTTTCTTTGTTTTGAATCTTTTGATAAGAAAACAAGTTAAGTTAGGGACCTGCCTTTTGCATGAATAGTTTGATTTTTAAAAATTTTCTTAGACTAGACTCCTGCTGCAAAATTGTGCTTCAGCTGGTAAACTTGAACCAGCTGTTGGTTACAAGTCCCTGGCTGAGAGTCCCTTCACAAACCAGTGCTGTTTTCAAAATCTGCCTCTGGACTGAGACACCTCCAAAGATGTCACAGAAATGCAGGTCAAGCCCAGCTGAGATGCCAGTCTCAGTTGACACTGCCTTTGGGACATCCACGTCACTGTGCCGTGGGCTGAGGTACTCATAAAGCAGGGTCTGCTCTAGGAGGGGCCTGAGGCTGTCCTGGGGCAAAAGGGCAGCAGAAGCGAGAAATCCCGAGTACAAGGAGTACTTCATCGCTGCTGAGGGCAACATCATCCATCACGTGCCCTGACGCTACTCCCACAGGGGCACACGGACATAAAACCACCATGACGCTGTTGCACTCACATCCTCCAGTGCCTTGCTCTCCAAGTGCTGGTGAGGGCAAACCCCTAATGGTCTGACCGTGATGGGGCGAGCATTTCATTCAATGCTGTTCATGTGGATGTCTTTCAGCTGAAGCGACGTGATATCGTCTCAGTAGGGTCCCCGGTTACAAAATCATTGCCCTGCACAGACTCTGCATCCCTGTCCCACGTCAGACAGATGCTGGGGTAGGAGCTGGTAGTAAACCTTCAAAGAATTATTTTTTTTGACTGGTCTGTTGGTTTTGATTACATTGACTGCCTGTAATCTGGAAGGCAGAGAAAATGACTGAAAACTTCTGCCAAACCAGTGTCTGTTTGGACTAATTACAGGTGTTTTCAACAAAGCCCCATCCGGGAGGGTGATGCGGGTGCTCACCTGAGTCCTGCCCTCAGCTTTACTTGAAGCAGTGGGGAGGGATGGTCATGAGTTGCCTGGTGTTAGGATATACCTCCTGACTGAAGTTTATTCAGAGAGCTGGTGTTCCCAGACCGAAGCATTTGAGGTCCTGGGAGAAGGCAATTCGTTTTAATGTATGGTACCTGTTAACACAGTGCTCTTCACTGGTGCAACTGTTTTTTGTGCTTTATGACAGTTGCTATTACATTAGAAGGGAGAAATGGTCGAAGTAAATAGAAAAAAGAAGTTATCTGATTTTGGATATCATTTCTTGGTCTCAGAATTCTGCCCCTGTGTTGCATTCCTAGGGGTCATACTCGGTGTGTTTAACATGAACAGTTACGACCCTTTTTTTTTTTTCTTTAAATTTACAGCTCTGCCAGTAACCTCCTGTGAGATGTAGCTACTGGCTATTTTGCTTATTTTGTGGAGTCTTACAGTGTTTTTCTGCTTTGGAAAGAAACATGAAGTCCAGGGCAAGAGGAATCACTGTAAAGATAACTTTGCTAGAAAGGCAGCAGATGCTGGCTAGCTGAGACTTGGGAACTTA